AAAAAAAAAAAAAAAAACACTAAACAGTTAATACATTTGTGAAATTCCTTACCATTGAAGAGAAAAGTCTAATTGAATATTCAGGAAGTCTTCACTGTATTTCAAAAGATAACAGCATCTGCTCTGCCAAGGAGGAGGTGTAACAGCAAGGATTACATCATATCCTCTCCTCTCTCTGCAGTAAAAGGAAACTACAGTTCCCATCAAGCGTTGGGAACTGCACTAAATGTGGACAGGTACACTAGACCTGTACATGTTGAATGTGTACTCGCCCACTTTAACATGAATCACGTCCCCTCATTCTCCAGCCATGCTGCTCAGCACTACACAGCAGGACAGTTAGGTGACAATCATATAAATGTAAAGCATGCATGTGCAAAATGTTTACTTCATTCTACGTAGTCTACTTTCATTAAATATTTATTTCTCCCTTATCTAGGTTTTCTGTCACTGGCTGTGGCTGCTATCTTCACATGACTTCTCTCCCCCTCCAGCCACAACAGCAGATAAACTAATTGATCAGAGACTGTAGCCATACTACAGAAGATGACTTATCCCATGGGGTTACCGACAAAAACACATTTATAGTACAGCAAGGAAGGCGTTGAACCTCTGACAATGTTTTTATGGCTGTTCCTGTGCCAAGGTCAGGAATTGAGGGGAAGTCTCCCACCAGTGGAGTCAAAGAAACAGGAAGTCACCCTTCAGTGGGGTCACAGAAATAGGAATTCTCCTTCCAGTGGAGGTCACAAAACAAGAAGTCTTCCTCCAGTGGTGTCACAGAATCAGGAAGTCTCCAGTGGTGTCACAGGGAGAGGAAGTGATGAGAAGTCTCCCTCCAGTGGGGTCACAGGGACAGGAAGTAAGGGGAAGTCTCCCTCCAGTGGGGTCATAAAAACAATAAATCTCCCTCCAATGGGGTCACAGAAACAGGAAATCTCCCTCCAGGGGGGGGGGGGGGTCACAGAAACAGGAAGTCTCCCTTCAGTGGAGTCACAGAAACATTAAGTCTCCCTCTAGTGGGACACAAAAACAGAAAGACTCCCTCTAGTGGGGTCAAAGGGTCAGGAAGTGAGGGGAAATCTCCCTCCAATGGGGTCACAGGGAAAGCAATTGTTGGGAAGACTCCACCCACTGCTGTCACAGAAATACAAAGCGAGGGGAAGACTCCCTCTATTGGTGTCACAGAAACAGGAAGTCTCCCTCCTAGTGGTATCAAAGGGACTAGAAGTGAGGAGAAATCTTCTTCCAGTGGGGTCACAGAAACAGGAAGTCTCCTTCCAGTGCTGTCACAGAAATAGGAAGTCTACTTCCAGTGTGGTTACAGAAACAGGACGTCTCCCTCCAGTAGGGTCACAGAAACAGGACGTTCTCCCTCCAGTGGGGGTCATAGAAACAGAAAGTCTCCCTCCAGTGAAGTCACAGAAACAGAAAGTCTCCCTCCAGTGGGGTCAAAGAAATAGGAAATCTCCCTCCAGTGTGGTTACAGAAACAGGAAGTCTCCCTCCAGTGAAGTCACAGAAACAGGACGTCTCCCTCCAGTGAAGTCACAGAAACAGGACGTCTCCCTCCAGTGAAGTCACAGAAACAGAAAGTCTCCCTCCAGTGAAGTCACAGAAACAGAAAGTCTCCCTCCAGTGGGGTCAAAGAAATAGGAAATCTCCCTCCAGTGGGGTCACAGAAACAGGAAGTGTCCCTCTAGTGGGGTTGCAGAGACAGGAATTTTTGAGAAGACTCCTTCCATTGGTGTCACAGAAAAACAGAGCAAGAAGACAGAGCACACATGTTCCATCGCTGTACTCTCTCTGCACACATTTTCCATCACTGTACCCCTTCTGTACATGTTTTATCGTTGTACTTTCTCTGCACACATGTTCTTACACTGTACCTCCCTGCATACATGTTCCACCACTGTACCTCCTCTGAACACAGATTCCATTGCTGTACTCCCTCTGCATACATGTTCCATCACCGTACTCTCTCTGCACACATATTCTATCCCTGTATCCCCTCTTTACACATGTTCCATCGCTGTACTCTCTCTGCAAACATGTTCCATCACTGTACTCTCTCTGCAAACATGTTCCATCCCTGTACCCACTCTGCACACATGTTCCATCACTGTACTCTCTCTGCAAACATGTTCCATCCCTGTACCCACTCTACACACATGTTCCATCACTGTACTCTCTCTGCAAACATGTTCCATTCCTGTACCCACTCTGCACACGTTTCATCACTGTCTCTCTCTCTCTGCACACATGTTCCATCGCTGTAGTTTCTCTGCACACATATTCCATCACTGTACTCTCTCTGCACACATGTTCCATCACTGTACACCCTCTGCATACATGTTCCATCACTGTACCCTCTCTGCACACAGGTTCCATCCCTGTACTCTCTTGGAACACATATTCCATCCCTGTATCCCCTCTGCACACGTTCCATCGCTGTACTCTCTCTGCACACATGTTCCATTGATGTGCTCTCTCTGCACACATGTTCCATCCCTGTACCCACTCTGCACACATGTTCCATCACTGTACTCTCTGAACATGTTTCCATCACTGTACTCTCTCTGCACACATGTTCCATTGCGGTACTCTCTCTGCACACGTGTTTCATTGCTCTACACTATCTGCATACATGTTTGATAGCTGTACTCTCTGCATACGTTTCATTGCTGTACCCCATTTGCACACATGTTCCATCACTGTACCCTCTCTGCAAGGTTTCTGTGATATAAAAAATGAGACAAAGATAAATTGTTTCAGATCTTTTTCCACCTTTAATGTGACCTGTAAACTGTACAACTCAGTTGAACAACAAACTGAAATGTTTTAGGTGGAGGAAAGTATAAATAAAAAAATAAAATAATATGGTTGCATAAGTGTGCACACCCTTAAACTAATACTTTGCTGAAGCACCTTTTGATTTGATTCCAGCACTCAGTCTTTTTGGGTATGTGTCTATCAGCACGGAACATCTTGACTTGGCAATATTTGCCCACTCTTCCTTGCAAAACACTCCAAATCTGTCAGATTGTGAGGACATCTCCTGTGCACAGCCCTCTTCAGATCACCCCACAGATTTTCCATTGGATTCAGGTCTGGGCTCTGGCTGGGCCATTCCAAAACTTTAATCTTCTTCTGGTGAAGCCATTCCTTTGTTGATTTGGATGTATGCTTTGGGTCGTTGTCATGCTGAAAGATGAAGTTCCTCTTCATGTTCAGCTTTCTAGCAGAAGCCTGAAGGTTTTGTGCCAATATTGACTGGTATTTGGAACTGTTCATAATTCCATCTGCCTTGAGCCCCAGTTCCAGCTGAAGAAAAACAGCCCCCAAAGCATGATGCTGCCACCACCATGCTTCACTGTGGGTATGGTGTTCTTTTGGTGATGTGCAGTGTTGTTTTTGCTCCAAACATATCTTTTGGAATTATGGCCAAAAAGTTCAAGCTTGGTTTCATCACACCAAAACACATTTTCCCACATGCTTTTGGGAGCCTTCAGATGTGTTTTTGCCCAATTTATCCGGGGCGTGGATGTTTTTCTTCGTAAGGAAAGGCTTCTGTCTTGCCACTCTACCCCATAGCCCAGACATATGAAGAATACGGCAGATTGTTGTCACATGTACCACACAGCCAGTACTTGCCAGATATTCCTGCAGTTCCTTTAATGTTGCTGTAGGCCTCTTGGCAGCCTCCCAGACCAGTTTCCATTTCATCTTTTCATCAATTTTGGAGGGACGTCCAGTTCTTGGTAATGTCAATGTTGTGCCATATTTTCTCCACTTGATGATGACTGTCTTCCCTGTGTTCCATGGTATATCTAATGCCTTGGAAATTTTTTTGTACCCTTCTCCTGACTGATACCTTTTAACAATGAGATCCCTCTGATGCTTTGGAAGCTCTGCTGGCTTTTGCTGTAGGATGCGACTAAGAAAAGGTCAGGAAAGACCAACTAGAACAGCTGAACTTTATTTGGGGTTAATCAGAGGCACTTTAAATGATGGCAAGTGTGTACTGACTCCTATTTAACAGGATTTTGAATGTGATTGCTTAATTCTGAACACAGCTACATCCCCAGTTATAAGAGGGTGTGCATACTTATGCAACCAAATTTTTTTAGTTTTTTATGTTTACTTCCCCCTCCTAAAAGATTTCAGTTTTTTTTCAACTGAGTTGTACAGTTTATAGGTCACATTAAAGGTGGAAAAAGTTCTGAAATGATTTATCTTTGTCTCATTTTTTTTTTAAAAATCACAGAAACCTGACATTTTAACAGGGAAGTGTAGACTTTTTTATATCCACTGTATGTACTGTGGGTGGGTGGCAAGTGCTAATATCACCTAGTGATCCTGGCAGTACCACATGTGCTGCCTTAGAGTGACAACATTCACTCATTGCACTGTGTCTATGGAAAAGCAGCCTTGTGCCAGCTGTCAGAATACAATGTTCTAGTGGGGAGATTTCACTTGGTTTATGTGGATGAAATTAATCTGATTTTTCCTTTCTTCAGCCTGCTGGCTAAAGGAAAAAAGGAATAGCTGTGGCCAGTTTAACACCCTTCCTATGCTATGGTGACAACTAATTGTACTTTATCTATTGAGGAGCAGGGTTGTCACCCTAGCACAGGGCTATAACAATAATGTATGAGGTTTCAGTGCAGCATCCTCAGCTCACTACAGCTCAATGGATCTATAACAGAATCAAAGTTTTTATTTCTTCCAACAAAGTCCAAAGACAACAAAGGCCAGACCTCAAGGGAGCAAATAAAAGATGTTCATCTTCATGGTTCGTTTATTTCGTATACCGTATACTGAATTTAGAAATCACATTTACACCTTCTTGTTTTTTAGAGGCTGACTTATGAACTGTACGAGCTTTGGAATCTGATTGGCTCCTGTACAGGAAGTCTTGGCGGAACACATTTCAGTAAAAATGTGAGGAGCTGCGCACGCGCGCTTCTTTCCTAGCCTTATCAATGAAACCTCTGGTTGATGTCAGCTCCGCAACTATTGGGTATTAGGATTTCGCGCATGCGCACTGTGGAATTCCTCGTCGTGAATGGGGAGTCGCTCCTGGCAACAAGTCCCTCCTCTTCTCCGTCCGTTAGCGGAGGAGCATGCGCGCTGACCCATATCTGTGGCTGCGAGAAGCTGCTTCCCGCCCGGGTAGTTTTCCGCCGGCTGTGCTGGTGATGTGGAGGCCGTGACAGGTAGGCGGGGAAGAGATCCTAGTCTACTGGTTGTCATGTGGGAGACTGGAAGAGAGGCACGGGCCTCGCTCGTATGCAGTGTGGAAGTGGCGGGAGACGGTAGGCCTCACCTGTAGGACTGGGGGAGGGGGCAGCATGGTGGACAAATGTGTTTGTACAATGTGTGTTCTCTTTATAACTGTCACTGTACAATGTGTGCTCCCATCCTACAGTCAGTGTACAATGTGTGCTCTCATCCTACAATCACCGTGTACAGTGTGCTCTCATCCTACAGTCAGTGTACAATGTGTGCTCTCATCCTACAGTCAGTGTACAATGTGTGCTCTCATCCTACAGTCAGTGTACAATGTGTCTCTCTCATCCTACAGTCACTATACAATGTGTGCTCTCATCCTACAATCACCGTGTACAGTGTGTCTCTCATCCTACAGTCACCGGTCACCGTGTACAATGTGTGCTCTCATCCTACAGTCACCGGTACACCGTACAGTCACGTACAATGTGTGCTCTCATCCTACAGTCACCGGTCACCGTGTACAATGTGTGCTCTCATCCTACAGTCACCGGTCACCGTGTACAATGTGTGCTCTCATCCTACAGTCACCGGTCACTGTGTACAATGTGTGCTCTCATCCTACAGTACCTGTGTACAATGTGTGCTCTCATCCTACAGTCACCGGTCACTGTGCTATACAATGTGTGCTCTCATCCTACAGTCACCGGTCACTGTGTACAATGTGTGTTCTCTCTCATCCTACAGTACCTGTGTACAATGTGTGCTCTCATCCTACAATCACCGTGTACAAGTGTGCTCTCATCCTACAGTCACCGGTCACTGTGTACAATGTGTGCTCTCATCCTACAGTCACCGGTCACTGTGTACAATGTGTGCTCTCATCCTACCGTCACCGGTCACCGTGTACAATGTGTGCTCTCATCCTACAGTCACCGGTCTCCGTGTACAATGTGTGCTCTCATCCTACAGTCACCGGTCACTGTGTACAATGTGTGCTCTCATCCTACAGTCACCGGTCACTGTGTACAATGTGTGCTCTCATCCTACCGTCACCGGTCACCGTGTACAATGTGTGCTCTCATCCTACCGTCACCGGTCACCGTGTACAATGTGTGCTCTCATCCTACCGTCACCGGTCACCGTGTACAATGTGTGCTCTCATCCTACAGTCACCGTGTACAATGTGTGCTCTCATCCTACAGTCACCGTGTACAATGTGTGCTCTCATCCTACAGTCACCGGTCACTGTGTACAATGTGTGCTCTCATCCTACAGTCAGTATACAACAATGTGTGCTCTCATCCTACAATCACCGTGTACAGTGTGCTCTCATCCTACAGTCACCGGTCACTGTGTACAATGTGTGCTCTCATCCTACAGTCACCGGTCACTGTGTACAATGTGTGCTCTCATCCTACAGTCACCGGTCACTGTGTACAATGTGTGCTCTCATCCTACAGTCACTGTGTACAATGTGTGTTCTCTTTATAACTGTCACTGTACAATGTGTGCTGTCATCCTGCAGTCACTGTGTACAATGTGTGCTCTCATCCTACAGTCACCAGTCACTGTGTACAATGTGTGCTTTCATCCTACAGTCACCAGTCACTGTGTACAATGTGTGCTCTCAACCTACAGTCACCAGTCACTGTGTACAATGTGTGCTCTCAACCTACAGTCACCAGTCACTGTGTACAATGTGTGCTCTCATCCTACAGTCACCGGTCACTGTGTACAATGTGTGCTCTCATCCTACAGTCACTATACAATGTGTGCTCTCATCCTACAGTCATCACCGTGTACAGTGTGCTCTCATCCTACAGTCACCGGTCACTGTGTACAATGTGTGCTCTCATCCTACAGTCACCGGTCACTGTGTACAATGTGTGCTGTCATCCCACAGTCACGGTCACCGTGTACAATGTGTGCTGTCATCCCACGGTCACCATGTACAATGTGTGCTGTCATCCTCCTACGGTCACCGTGTACAATGTGTGCTGTCATCCTACAGTCACCGTGTACAATGTGTGCTGTCATCCTACAGTCACCGTGTACAATGTGTGCTGTCATCCTACAGTCACCGTGTACAATGTGTGCTGTCATCCTACAGTCACCGTGTACAATGTGTGCTGTCATCCTACAGTCACCGTGTACAATGTGTGCTGTCATCCTACAGTCACCGTGTACAATGTGTGCTGTCATCCTACAGTCACCGTGTACAATGTGTGCTGTCATCCTACAGTCACCGTGTACAATGTGTGCTGTCATCCTACAGTCACCGTGTACAATGTGTGCTGTCATCCTACAGTCACCGTGTACAATGTGTGCTGTCATCCTACAGTCACCGTGTACAATGTGTGCTCTCATCCTACAGTCACCGTGTACAATGTGTGTGTCTCTTTATAACTGTCACTGTACAATGTGTGCTGTCATCCTGCAGTCACGTGTACAATGTGTGCTCTCATCCTACAGTCACGTGTACAATGTGTGCTCTCATCCTACAGTCACTGTACAATGTGTGCTCTCATCCTACAGTCACGTGTACAATGTGTGCTCTCATCCTACAGTCACCGGTCACTGTGTACAATGTGTGCTCTCATCCTACAGTCACTATACAATGTGTGCTCTCATCCTACAATCACCGTGTACAGTGTGCTCTCATCCTACAATCACCGTGTACATGTGTGCTCTCATCCTACAGTCACCGGTCACTGTGTACAATGTGTGCTCTCATCCTACAGTCACCGTGTACAATGTGTGCTGTCATCCCACAGTCACCGGTCACCGTGTACAATGTGTGCTGTCATCCTACAGTCACCGGTCACCGTGTACAATGTGTGCTGTCATCCTACAGTCACCGGTCACCGTGTACAATGTGTGCTGTCATCCTACAGTCACCGTGTACAATGTGTGCTGTCATCCTACAGTCACCGTGTACAATGTGTGCTGTCATCCTACAGTCACCGTGTACAATGTGTGCTGTCATCCTACAGTCACCGTGTACAATGTGTGTCTGTCATCCTACAGTCACCGTGTACAATGTGTGCTGTCATCCTACAGTCACCGTGTACAATGTGTGCTGTCATCCTACAGTCACCGTGTACAATGTGTGCTGTCATCCTACAGTCACCGTGTACAATGTGTGCTGTCATCCTACAGTCACCGTGTACAATGTGTGCTCTCATCCTACAGTCACCGTGTACAATGTGTGCTGTCATCCTACAGTCACCGTGTACAATGTGTGCTCTCATCCTACAGTCACCGGTCACCGTGTACAATGTGTGCTCTCATCCTACAGTCACCGTGTACAATGTGTGTTCTCATCCTACAGTCACCGGTCACCGTGTACAATGTGTGCTCTCATCCTACAGTCACCGGTCACCGTGTACAATGTGTGCTCTCATCCTACAGTCACCGGTCACCGTGTACAATGTGTGCTGTCATCCTACAGTCACCGTGTACAATGTGTGCTGTCATCCTACAGTCACCGGTCACCGTGTACAATGTGTGCTGTCATCCTACAGTCACCGGTCACCGTGTACAATGTGTGCTGTCATCTACAGTCACCGTGTACAATGTGTGCTGTCATCCTACAGTCACCGTGTACAATGTGTGCTGTCATCCTACAGTCACCGTGTACAATGTGTGCTGTCATCCTACAGTCACCGTGTACAATGTGTGCTGTCATCCTACAGTCACCGTGTACAATGTGTGCTCTCATCCTACAGTCACCGGTCACCGTGTACAATGTGTGCTCTCATCCTACAGTCACCGGTCACCGTGTGCAATGTGTGCTCTCTTCATACAGTCACCGTGTGCAATGTGTGCTCTCTTCATACAGTCACCGGTCACCGTGTGCAATGTGTGCTCTCTTCATACGGTCACCGTGTCCAGTTGTGCTGTCAGCACACGGTCACTGTGTACAATGTGTGCTCTCATAGCGTATGAAGAGAGCACACATTGTACACAGGGACTGGTGACCGTATAATGAGTACACATTGTACACAGTGACAGTATAAGAGCACTACGAGTGGGATTTACTAAAACTGGTGCAGCTGTGCATGATAGCCAATCAGCTTCTAACTTCAGCTTATATCTTATACTTACCTGAGCTCTATCTTGATCCATTGATGTGCAATAAAGCCGCAGCTCTCCCAGGTCTCTCTCTTCATTGGCTCACACAACAGCAGAAGCCACAACCAGTGAGGAGAGAGTGGGGGGTGGGGCCAAGCCACGATCTGTTTGTGAATAGACAATGTCCATTCACAGAAGTGTGGCTCAGGAGTGAGCCTGCTTGAGTGCCCCATTGCAAGAGGCTTGCTATTGGGAGCTCTCGGCAGGGGGTAGGATTCAGGACTACTGACAGGGGACCCAAAAAAGAAGAGGATCGGGGCTGCTCTTTGCAAAATTGTTACACAGAGCGGGTAAGTATAACATGTTTATTGTTTTGTGTGCACAATGTCTGCTCTCATACTATCACTGGTCTCAATGTGGGCTGTATAGGCACTGGTCACCATGTACAATACATGCTGTCATTATACAGGCAGTGGTCACTGTGTACCATGTCTGCTTTCATTATATAAGCACTAATCACTGTGTATAATGTTAGAACAAGGTGACTTGTACCTTTAGAACAGACTCGTTTATGTGGTGCCCAGTATCTATACAATAAGTGCACACACTTGGTTACCAGTAACTGTATAATAGGAGAGGACTTTGTATGTGGTTTCCGGTAACTGCATGTTAAATGCAGGCATTGTACCTGGTTAACAGTAACTATTTAATAAATGCAGATATTGTACACCGTGAGCAGTGACTGATAGTGTCTGCTCATTATACAGGCACTAGTCACCCTTTATCGTGACTGCTCTCATACTGCCACTTGTGACCATATACAGTACAGTGTGTGCTGCCATACTGGCACTGGTCACCGTGTACAATATGTGCTCTCATACTGGCACTGGTCACCATGTACAATATGTGC